CTCAGTCAGCAAGCGCTGTAATGTTAGGACTGGTACAATGTGTTCATAAACAAAAGAGCTGAATTCCTTTTTTAGGTGTATAATTTAATCCTAATTAATATGGAGTTGAGACCAGTACCTCAAGAATTAATGTAGGTTTTCTTAGAGTGTTAGAGCTTGCTGTTTTGCCTGTCAGGCATCTTGCAGAAACTCTTTTTCTTCCACTCAGTTTTTTCCTCAGATACCAAAATAATAATAATAATAAAAATTCAGCTCAGATAAAGCTGGGTTTGAACATTTTTGTGGTGGAATCAGGGTGAGTCTTATCACTATTTTCTTATGTACACTTTAGCTCCTTTCTTTATGCTATACAAAAGGCTTGTGTCAGTCCTTGGCAGCAGACCCAACTAGAAAATCAACTCCCACCCTAAAAACAACCACAGTGGCACCTTCTTGACAAGAAACACCTGTGCTAGGCCGTCAGGACGTTGCAATATATGTGATTTTTTTTTTTAAGTTTAAAAATTAGACTTTCAGTGACCTGGTGTGTTAATACTATATTTACTCAAATATTACATAACCCTGGACAGAAAACTATCCCCCCCAAATTAGATTCTATAAATAGAACATTTATAAATGAGTTATCAATTTCCAGGTATAGAATCTAATTATTGGAAGTCTGCCTTGAATTTGTCCCCCGCAGACTGCTACATCAGGGAAAATGAATCTGGGGGGTCAGATGGCTCCTTGTACCCCCACCCCAACTTCTTCCCTCATAGCCCCTCACCCCCCTTACTCTCAACCCTGCTCTCCCTGAGCACCTGAAAGTGAGGGGCCAATTTGAAAACAACTGACTTTGAAATGAACATGCCTGTGATAATTTACATGCAGGCAAATTACTATGGGTATCCACAGACTTAGTTCATCCAGAATTGATGTATTTTACCCTTTTTTTACATGGCTGCAAGTTTGAGCACAGTAGGCATGTCTAAATGAGATGTTTACTATGCAGCTGACTAAGTAGCTGTGCAGTAAACATTTTGGCATCTACATGTGCACCTCTATTAGGCTGGAGTAAACTAATTTACCCAGCAGCAGAGCATGTGTAGGTGCTGCCTGATTAGCTGATGCATGAAGGTGCTTCAGCGAGGGGGCTGTCTGCTGGCTAGCCCCACAGTGAAGCTCTCTTGTGCCCTACCCAGCCCCTTCATAGCACACCAAGCTGAAGGGAGCATCCCTGGGGTTGGCAGGAAAACTCCCAGAGCCCCCTGCCAGCCAGGGCTGCTCCTCGTAGGCTCTATATGCTATGCCTGAAAAAACTGCAGTTTATTGCTCCAGAATTAATTGCTCCTGGGTGCCCATTCATACAGCATGCCCGGGGCAATAAGCTCCACAGTTTATTCAGATGCCACAATTACACGTGTAGATGTGCCTAGGTACTCCACAAACACACTTTTAAGCAGCACTCTTTACACAGTAGTACAAATTATGCATGATGTTAATCCAAAGCCAAAAGGTTCATGATTTATAATATAGTTCACTGGGCTGGGACCCATCAGAGTCAACGTGATTTATAATATAGTTCACTGGGCTGGGACCCATCAGAGTGAACAGTATTTCAAGCCATGATAACCCCACAGCTCAGTATTGCTCAGTATATGTGTGTACTCCAGATACCCACCATGAAGGATCCATGGCCTAATTATCTACCACTCATGACTGGAACTGGGTGTTCTTGTCACAAGTCCTGGGGCTCTCAAAAAAATTACATGTAGACGATACACAGGGCAACCTAGTCAAACTCTACTTTGTGGAAGGTGGGACCACACTAATCATATATGCCAAGTGGAGAGAGGGGCCAACAGAGAGATTCTGGGTGAACTGTTTGGGGCCCCTTTTGGTGATGTTTGCCAGGCATTTATGGTGGCTGAAGAAACAGGAATGACTGGAAATGGGAAAGAAGGGCACAACTCAGTTGTGGGAGTGAAGAAGTTACAAGGCAGTGGCTTACCATGACTTGAAAAAGAGTCAGCGCTAAGGGGGACTGCACTTAGTGGCCACTGCCATATCTCCTATCAAGATGGGCTGTACTAACCTATCTTTCTGGTAGGTTCCTATCAGTATCTCAGCCTTTTCAATATCTTCCCCAATGACCTGGAGGATAGCATAGAGGGCATCCTCATCAATTTTGCAAATGACAAGATGGGGATAGTAGTAGATATGCTGGAGGGTAGGATTAGGATTCAGAGAGACCGAGAGAAATTGGAGGACTGGACCAAAAGAAATCTCATGAGTTTAAATAAGCACTTAGGCTGGGACAATCCCAAGTACCAGTACAGGCTAGGCACTGACTGACTAGGCAGCAGCAGCTCTGCAGAAAAGGACCTGTGGGTTACAGTAAACAATAAACTGAATATGAGCCAACAGTGTGTCCTTGTTGCCAAGAAGTCTAACGGCATCCTGGGCTGCATTGGTAGGAGTGCTGTCAAGAAATCAAGAAAAGTGATTATTCCTCTCTATTCAGTACTGGTGAGACCACATCTGGAGTACTGTGTCCAGTTTTGGGCCCCTCCACTACAGAAAGGATGTGGACAGATTGGACAAAGTCCAGCGGAGGGCAATGGAAATGATTAGGGGGCTGGAACACATAACTTGAGGAGAGGCTGAGGTAACTGGGCTTATTTAGTCTAGAGAAGAGAAGACCGAGTTGGGATTGAATAGCAGCCTTCAGCTACCTGAAGGGTGGTTCCAAAGAAGATGGAGATAAGACTATTCTCAGTGGTGGCAAGGAGCAACAGTCTCAAGTTGCAGCAAGGGAAGTTTAGGTTAGATATTAGGAACAACTCTCTCACTAGAAGGCTAGTAAAACACGCCATCCTAGGAGTTTTTAAAGAACTGGCTAGACAAAGCCTTGGTTGGGATGATATAGATGGGGATGGTCCTGCTTTGAGCAGGGGTTGGACTAAATGACCTCCTGAAATCCATTCCAACGCTAATTTTCTATGATTCTATGATTTTGGCCACAAAAAAGGGCCCCCAAAAGGTCCCAATTATCCTTTTTGGCACTAGGGTAGGGTGTTGGACCTTGCTCGTTCCCTCCTGGGGGAACAACTACCACTTTTTTTAAGGCCATACATACACAATAAAAAGTTCTCATCAGTATGTTTCCCATTTTGGGTCATACGTTTTATAGACAATCTCAGTGGTGGCTGCATTTAATCAGCTCCATGATTGGTTTCTATTACTAAGCATACAGTGCTTTTGGCAGGTGTTTAACAGAAGAAAATGTATTTCATGTGGTTTCCTTTTAAGACGAGGGGCTGGCTGGAAGGGGGGCGTGGACTTCGTCTTCTATTTGTATAAATATGATACATCCATTTATATGAGAGTTTTAAAATTGCTGGCACTTCTATGTTACCTTTTATCCAGGGATCTCAAGGCACTTTATACACACAACTTGAGCTTCACAACACGCTTTTCAGTGAGGTAAGTTCAAGTGATATGCCTTTTACACACCGGCAAGCAGAGACTAAAATTAGTTAATATTTACCCAACCTTACACTGTAAGCCAGTATCAAAGCCCTGAGCAGAATCAGGACTCATTAATTCAAGTCCCTTCTTTCATACACAAGGCAACACTGCTGCTCCTATAGCTGACTATTTTCTTAATGTTGTTGAACTGGTGCATACGACACCAAGTTATGGGGAAGTGTGGTCACGCTTGAAGACAGGCTACAGTTACAGGTGTACCTAGACAGGCTAGCAAGTTGGGCAGATTGGAATCTGACCAAGTTCAACATCGAGAAATGTAAAGTGCTGCACCTCAGGATGAGCAACCCCCAACACACCTACAGGCTTGGCGGCACCAAACTGACCAGCACCACAGATGAAAGAGACCTGAGGGTAATAATGGATCACAATATGAATATGAGCCAGCAGTGCAATGCTGTAGCCAGTAGGGCAAATAATACTCTGGCATGCATCAATCACTACATCCCCAGCAAAGCCAAGGAGGTGATTCTTCTGCTCTGCTCAGTACTGGTGAAACCGGAGCTGGAGTACTGCGTCCAGTTCTGGGCACCACACTGTAACAAGGACGTGGACAAGCTTGAGAGAGTCCAGAGAAGAGCCACCAGTATGATCAGAGTCTTAAAAAGTAAGCCATACAAGGCAAGGCTGAGGCACTGGGGACTCTTCAGCCTGAGGAAAAGAAGGCTGAAAAGGGACCTGGTAGTAGCTTACTGCTACACTAGGGGAGTACATCAAGGGCTCAGTGAGCAACAGTTCACCAGGGCACCCAAGGGGAAAACCAGAAGTAATGGCCACAAACTCCTGAAAGATCAATTCAGGCTCAACATTAGGAAAAACTTCTTCACAGTCAGGGTGTCCAGACTGTGGAATAAATCCAGAGTGGAATAAGCTCCCTCCAGAGGTGGTGCAATCACCTACCCTGGAAATCTTCAAGAGGAGACTGGACAGTCACCTTGCTGGGGTCACCTGTCCCTCAGTTATCTTTCCTGCTTGGTGCAGGGGGCTGGACCTGATGATCTTCTGAAGTCTCTTCCAGCCTTATAGTCTATTAATTCCTTTACTGAAGTAAATTATGAAAACTGATGGAAATTCCCACATGAAGTTGTGTATTAAGCATTTTTGAGCACCAGAGGCCTTTTTAATTCATGCATAAGTATATTTCTTGTAGTTGCAGTTTTTCTACAAAGAAAAGAAAATTAGAAGTAGAGACACATGTACAGGACCAAGAGATCATACTATTCTTCTTTGTATCTGGGGTCTGTGAGATAAGGGCAGGACTTGGTTTCGTAGTACAGGTTATGCAGTAGCTGCTATAGGTTTCTTTCAAACCATCTTGGTGCTTTAAGGAGTTTGTCATGCTAGCTCCTGTACTTTGCTCCTATGTGGCCAGTTTTTCAGCAGGTAGCACTGCTCAAGGGTTCCAAAAAGATAAAACATATTATGTGCTGCATAACATGGAAAAAAGGAATATAAACAAGTTTTGTACTCACGCAGAAGTGGTCTGTACATCATGCCAGCTTTTGCTGAAGTTCTGTTTCAGCTCATTCATCAAGCTGACACCAAGCTTTTGCTTGATTTCCACCAGGTGCTTCTCTTTGGCTGCTAACACTTGTCGTAAGGTTGAAATTTCATCCTCTAGCTGAATGGAATGAAGAAAAATGTTAACCTATGTGGTCATAGAAAAAAAAAAAAAAGAAATACCATATGCCAAGCTTTAAAAGTCGTACTGAGGCTAGCATGAATCTGCACTTGACAGGTATAGAGCAGAAAAAAAGAATTTAAGTAACTTTGCTGATTCTAAGATGCCCAAAACATACTTTACATTATAACTGTACTCAAAATACAAGTCTCTGCAAACATGCTATTCCATCATCTCACTATAAATACAGCTCGCTAGAAGAAGAGTTACTGGCTCCTTGAAGGGCTAACATGTAGAGGAAAGGAAGGGCATACTAAAGAATGCTTCCCTAGTCCAGCTGGTCTGAAACGACTACTGGCTAAACGGGTTCACTGCACCCTAAGCATAAAAGTTGTATCAGCCCTTAAAAGTACCAAAAGTGCAGAGATGCCTTAAACTCACTGTACTTCCCAACACTCTTCCACAGCCAGCAAGGAAATGGATGAATTTAGGGACCATCTATTTTTTAAAAGCCTTTTAGGCTGGATGACTAGATTCAATCTTATTTGTAGGGAGATATTTTTTTATACAGAAAAGTGCAATCGGGCCCTTTAACCTGTCACCTAATCCTTGCTAATTAAAGAGGAAAAAGAAATTAAAAACCAGGAACCAATCTTGATCTGGCCAATTTGTGCATGAATACATTCTAAAGAATATGTTCAGTCAAAAGGGGTTCTTTGATGCCACTGTTCATTCTTTGGCAAACATATCTTTTCAAACAACATTTTTCAGACTTCATTTTATACAAAAATAATGCTGTTAGCTAGCATATGAATAGGACATCTGGCTAAGAAGAGGACAGCTGAAAACAGCTGGCCATTTATTCAATATTCTCATGCTGTGAGTAACACTCTAATCTGCCTGAGCTTAACATCACTAGCAGAAAAGGCTCATAAACTGAAAAGGCAAGCGGCATCCTGTAATACTGAAGCTGGTGAGGATAAGGGATATACATGTAATAAATGTTCTTGTGCGCTTGTATACTTGACAGGGGTTTAGTCCTCAGGGTTTTATTCTATGCTGCCTAAATAATACATTGTGTTACTCCACAAAATTGACCAAAGACTCATTGGCCCTTTGCAAGTCATATGGTTTAATTCTCAGCCTATTGGCTTCTCATTGGCCTTTAAATTATACAAGTATGTCAGGAATAAACATGAAATTGTAGGCACCTACAGAGCTGGATTGAGGTCAATACTAAAATTCCTCTAGATTGTGATAGTGTCGTCATTTCATTTGTGGAATTCAAGATCACCAAGATCCAGAACTGCTTGCCATTTTAGCGATCATAAAACAACTAACAAGTGGTCCTCTTTTCGACATTACAGAAGCAGCAAAGTTAAGATTCGGAATCATTAGAAAACACCCAGAATCTGTGAAGGGCTAACTGGGCAAATGCTTGTATGAAAAAAAGAAAGAAAAGAAATTAAACAGGTCTGATTTAAAGCAGGTATTAATTTAGTGAAATTGTTCTATTTGCTCAAAAACAAAGTGTCCAATGTGTCAGTTTGCCTCATTAACACTATGATACTGTTCAAGATTAAAACAAAACAACTAGGTTACTTCTATTCCTTACAGATACTTAAACACTTTTTAATGCTCCCTATGGGGACCAGCACTAGACAGCTCATTACATACCTGGATGTGACTATTCAAAGTCTTTTGATTAAAATTACTTTCCATCTGTTCAGTTAGATAACTAAATCTTCAAATCCTCATATAAAGCACTGACTCTTTGCATAATGCTATGGATGTGGACATTATACACTATTAAAGGAAAGAAAAGCATTTTGTTTAAAAAAAAGAAATTTGTGTTTTAAAAAAGGACACCATCAACTTAAAATGTCATTGTTTAAAAGAAAAAAGTTTAAGATAGTACAAAACATTCCTCAGGTGTCCAAACAACACTGACTTGGGACTTTTAAGTATTGAACATAAAGGCTTAAGGACTTAGACAGATTTTTAAAACAGCACTTAAGCAGGTTAGGCTTCTACCTTCCATGGGAGCAAGGCATCAAACCTGCTCAGGGTTGTTTGAAAAATCTCACTATTAGACTGCTTTTGAAAATAAACATGGATTACACTAATGAATTGGTGAGACCCTCCTGAAAATGTTATCTGTTGCCTGAAATAAAGCACATAGGGAAAGCCTTTGTCAGCTGAGAACCACACAGTCTTCCTGCCACTTGCTGTGGGTTTTAGAAACACTCCCCCTGACACTTTTGTCTCCTACTGATGAGTGAAAGAACCATGCAAATGATAAGGGAAGGTGGCTACTCCCCAGAATTGTGCTTCTCACAAATATTCTGTTAGACCTGAAACAAGCTGTTAGAAATAATCTGTTTCCGTTTTGAAACTGAGTACCTGAAGAAAAAAAATGGCATCTGGCATCATCTGTCTGAAAATTCTAGGCTTACTGCCATTGCAGAGAAAACAGTGAAAAACCCAGACCAGTCTGACTTATGCATCCTCTGAAACAAGAGAAAACTTACTTCTGTCCTGTAGTTTAACCTATAATTATCTTTTAGGTTTCTTGTACTAATTAAAGAGCATACATTTTCAAAGAGTAATATAAATTTTAAGTTGATGGTGTAGTTTTAAAAATGATCCTACAGCATATACTTCTCCTCTCTCTCATGTACCATGTACTTTTTGCATAGCACATTGCGACTGGGACTGTATCTATCTGAGTACTTATATGGGAGAAAGGAGCCTTGCTACTGATGTCTCCACCTGACCTTAGGAAATATAATAATACCTGTTTATTAGCAACAAAACACAACATATAGTTCTATTAATTATATTTGGAAATATACATTAGCTCCTTCACATGCATGGTGCTTAAGTGAGAGCTGGAGGGGGAAATGGTCATGGGATGAATACACTTCAGCAAAATATGGGGCAGGAGGTATAACGATCAACCTTCACAGAAGGCAATTTAATGAAGCAAGCTACTAGAATCCTTTCTGGAGGCAAGCAATGGAAACAATAGGTACCTCAAAGTCATGCAGGGGCACAATGCCACCATGCACTACAAAGGTACATGTGAGGCTGCTTGGGAATTTGAACTAAGTAGGTGGAGGGGCTGTGCTGGTTATTGTGTTTAACAGTGGGCTGCCCATGTGTATAAAGCAAATATATGATTGTAGTACAGGGTCCCGTACTAGGCTTAAATTTTACTGGCACAGGTGACAGCAGAAAAAAGAGTTAGTGCCACAAGCTTTAGCACTACCACAATACAAACCTTCCAGGCACCCTGGGTACATACTGTGGTTGCTACTCTCTGCCACTGTCATTACCAATGCTAGCTAAACGAAAGAAAGCATAAGAATACCATACTGTGCAAGAATCGCACCTTTTTTTGCTGTGTAGACCAGTGGTGGCTGACCTTTTCAGTTTATGGACTGGATGAGCGGTGCCAAGTCTGTACGTGGCCAGATCCAATCTGTGGACCCATGGGGGAATGGTCCAGCTGCATTAGGCACTTGTCAGGCTATTCCTATGCAGCTAAATCAGACTGGCTCCACACTGTTACAACAGGCCCCACACAGCTATATTGGGCCCTGTCTCGGCTGTTTCCAGCAGCTAAATCAGGCTTCAGCTTGATTCAGCCATGCAGGAATGGGACCAATCCTTCTACACAGGGCAGCCCGGCTGGGACCGATCCCACCTCAGGGAGCCCGGAAATTTGACAGCAGGGAGTGGGCTGGGGGTTGAGTACCCCTGGTGAGAAAGATGTAGGGAACGCATAACAGGAGGCAATGAAGAAAATCATGTAAAAGGACCAGAGACACCCACAGAAGAACACAGAGCATGGCCCAGAGAAAAAGCTAAGAGTGCTTTTGGGTTAAATGATGACTGGAAAGATTTGGAGCATGAGCAAGGAAACGGTCTTCTGCTGTTAAATTTCTCCTGTGGGTGCTGACAAATGTGCAGCTCCCTGCTCTAACTCACAGTGCTTCAGAGCCAATCCAGTGGAGAAGTTACCTGCTTGCAGCCTCCCCCCACCCCAGTTCTGCTCCCCCTCCCAGCTGCAGGGCTGTCAGCAGGGAGAGAGAAGGGGGAGGGAGCTGCAGCTGGGGGGAATGGGATTTGGGAGGGGACTGCAAGGCAGAGGGGCTCCAATTCACCAATCCCCACACCACCTCCAGTTCAGGCTGGGCAAACCCCAGCATACAGCTCCTGCCTCCTCCCTTGCTCCCTGTAGACAGCCCTGGGGGCAGAGCTAGGCTGCAGCAGCCCAGCTCTAATCCTAGTCCCTACTGGTCAAGTTCCCTGAGGTGCTCCACGCCGGAGCACCTTCATCTGATCTCTCATCAATGAAGGTTAATTTGTTGCATGATAGGCCACTTTTAAAGTGCTCTGCAGCTTTGCACTTCTGTCACAGCCCAGCTGTAGAGCACTTTCAAGGGGCCAGTCATGCAACAAATGTCACTTCTGTTGGCGCCTTGTGTTCAAGGAATTGGGATTGCAGTCCCTGTACCTGGTATATACTCTGTAAATACACTAGACTGTAGCAAGGAAATAATTCGCTAATCATTAGTAGAAATAAGACAAAGGAATTATTCCTTAAATTCTACATGGGACCTAAAAAGAGTTAAAAATTCCAACAGGTTACATAACATTGCTGAATAGTATAATAGGAAGTATGTTGAAAGATATACGTAAGTAAAGTCATGCTACCAGCTGCTTTAGTGTTTCATGTACAATGGTTGCAGGCAGTGTTCTTTCCAAGATGCGTGGTGTGCGCAGCCGCACAGGCACGCCTGGCAGCACAGCATGAGTGCGCCTGTGCAACTGCGTACGCCTCGCAGCTTAGAGGGAACGTTGGTTGCAGGCATGTAAATACTAGGGTTAGGTACAGAAGTTACACATACACCGATTTAAGTGATCAGAAACCAGTTTAAACCTGAAAAAGAACAGAAGTTCATTGCATACAAACTAGCTTAAAAATGGCCAAACCTGGTTGGATAAACCTGGATGGATGTAGTATCAGACTTAACTGATTTAGGTTAAACTGGTTTATGGAACATTTGTCCCAACATCTTCTCAACTCAAGTTAACTCACAGTCCCCCAGAGTCCCAGGATGCTTTGAACCCCTGCACTGTACTGTCTGCTCTAGTGAACCAGGGCCAGCCCTGCCCTTAGTTGTCATAGAGCTGAGGCAGTTAAGCCTTTGCTCCCTAGCCTGTTTCCTGCCTATACCGGTCAGCTTGGCAAGATGGGGAGCAGGGGAATGGACCACCAGGCTCCCCTAGCCCAGGTCTGTACAGTGCAAGAGGAGGAAAAGCCCCAGCAGTGGGGTTCTTCACTGCACATCCCCCCTACCTGCCCCCCGCCCCATAGCTGGGCAAGCCGGGATTGGGATTGCCCCAGCTCTGCCCGTCCCCAGCCGCCAGATTCTAAAAGGTGGAGAGCAGCGGGGAAATGCACTCCCCTGGTCTGGCACTGCCCTCCGCCTCAGCTGGGGTCTGCTCAGTGAGGGGAGGAAAGCCCCAACCCCAGGGGCTTC